AAATGTGAACAAATGTTAAAATTTCCTGCGAGGAAAGATAACTCTGGTCCATATAAGAAGTTTGGTACTTGACAAAGTGTCGAAAATGGAACTTTGTAAGAGACAAGCAGTCAGAGTGAGGACACCTGGAACTTCAGAAATGATCAAACAGGAATTCTGCAAGCTCTTTGGCAACAGGACAATCAATGAATTAGGTGTCTGATTGTCAACAAGGCTAGACGCTTCTGACAGATAATAATAATAATAATAATCAAGGGGGAAGCGCTAAACCCGGAGGATTATACAGCGCCTGGGGGGGGGGATGTGGAAGGCATTCAGGCTTAATTCGGGGAACTGGAGCACAGATCCAATTCCCTAAATCAAGAGCCCCTCACCAACATCAAGGAACCTTCCTTGAGGGGCTTCTGACAGAGAGACACTGTTTCAACATGAGATGTTTACATGTGAGTCTTGTCATTAGTATGCTGTAGCAGGAACAATATTTCCTTCAACTACATAATTTAGAAGAGATCGACCAGGAACTTAATTGTGGTTTGATTAAAAAATGCACGATGGTCATTAAGTCAGGCCAGTGACTTAACCTCTGGCATCTAATGGATAGAAATTTTACAAGGAAATTCACGGACATCGAAAGTGCAGAAAGTCTGGAAGCCAGACATATGGTGACGTCTTTGTTCAAGCTGAAGAGGTGACATAGTTAACATATAATGTGATAAATGAGACACTTTTGCAACATACGGGTATTTTTAATCTGGAAACGTTTTAGCCGGCCAGTGACTTTTTCATTCTAATCCAGAGAATTGTGGAAGTCGTTAGACACAGCAACATATTGGAATCTTCATGCATGGAATTCTTCAAAGTTTGCCTAATCTAACGTAATTTGCGGGAAATGCTCTGCGTAACAAGGGGCTTTCTACATAGTAGTATGTCACTGATGTCAGCTATGGTCTGTATACCTTGTACATGTATTTGTAGAAATAAAATTATTATTATTATTATTATTATTATTATTATTATTATTATTATTATTATTATTATTATTATTATTAATGGTTCGAACTACTTCCACTAGTGACTCTGGCTACCACTGCTTCACCTCATCTTTCTGTAGTATATAAGCCCCATCTCCACGTATTTATTGTACTTTCCTCAAGACTGAGGGACTGAACACATCAACACCAGGCTGAGGGACTAATTACCTCAAATTCCTCCTCAATTTCCTCCCTTCTCTGTAATGGACTGAAGAAGCCACTAACTGGCGAAGTTTTTCCAGAATAAAGATACCCAAATGTCTAAGACTTGACCAAAAGAAGCTGTGTGGCGTATGTAAACAAAACAGTGCATACAATACTGCTCTGAAACTACTGGTTGTCACTGGTGAGCGTGCGTCTTGTGAGTGCAAGTGAAAAATGCCCGAGGAAGGAGTCAGCTTCCAGAGATGATATAGATGGGTGTCACTGCGGAAGGATAATATAAAGAATCATATATGGACCTCTTCGAATTCCTAAAATAGAAGAAATAACTAATGAACCGGGTAATAAGAGAGAATTGTTGAATAAGGGAAGCAATAATGACCTAAATGACGAAAGCGAAATGTTTTAGTAATAATTAGTTAAAAACTCGGAATCATTGTTGTGCGTGAGATAAATAATGACTCTTCTGATTGGTTTCAAATTTATTATGATACAATAACAAAAGAAAGGTTCTACAAAATCTTAACTATTGACTGTGTAGGTGCTAGCTAATCTAAAATTGTATTGACATTGTCAATAAACTAGGATCATTTGATTTACTGGAGAACGCTTTTTCTGATAGGTTTTAAACTCTCAGTGAACACCATCAATCAAAGCTAAATAAATGAACACCTATCAACTCTTCCAGGCTAAGGGTTTTAACACCTTATAATGACCTATACATCTTTTGCACAGTGACTGGAATACAAATCACGTACTGGATTAAAAAAAAACTCCTGCCAGACGTAATGACACAATTGCAAACAAACCATACAACGGGTGGGGTTAGAACCCGCGATCAGAAGTCATGAAACTCCAGACAGACGCGTTAGCCACTGGACCAGCTAGCTAACTGGACCAGCTAACCAGTGGCTAACACGTCGGTGTTGAGTTTTATGATTCTTTGATCGCTGGTTCTAACCCCACCCGTGGTATTGTAGACAGCCTGTACTGTCTGCACAGACAGCCCATGCTGTCTGCCAGCTTAGTTCATATTTCGCGCCATGCTGGTGCTGCCACCTATAGGCGTTGTCACTTCAGCCTGCCTGCCCTTGCCTCACCCTCACTCTCACAGCGGCCTAGCAGGAAGACACAAGGCCTACTAGTAGCTCTCTCTCGTGGGATGGCCCTCCCGGGCCATGGGCACAACACACAAGCCTGTGTAGCCACCACAACTTAACAATAAACAAAGAAGCCTCCGAAGACGTTTATCATTAACCACCCGCGTTTCAGCTCTACCAAACAAACCCATTAAACAGTATGGTTCACTCGTATCTTGTACATCAACGCTGGTATCGACAACATTAATGTACTTTAAAATACGTGTCTAACACAGAAGTACTATGGAACCTTGGTACAATGGATATACTGAATACTACGACTCTAGTGCAACCCTTGCCTAACTTAATAGCTTATCCTAGTTTCCCTTTCGGGTTGCGCCCACTTGTGACACTGTCTACAACTGCTGCACCTCTCCTCTAGTTCCAGTATATAAGATCTACCCATAATTCTCTTAATTATATCTAGGCTATGGAACTGAACATCTTCAGTCAAGGGTGAAGGAGAGAATACCTAGCAACTGTTCAAGGATTAGGAATTAAACACATTAAAAGTACCTATTCACTTTCACAATATTACGTATATTAATAATACTAATAATAATAATAATAATAATAATAATAATAATAATAATAATAATAATACTTTATTTCTACAAGTACAAGTACAAGGTATACAGACCATAGTTGACATCAGTAACATACTACTATATAGAAAGCCGCTTGTTATGCTGAGCATTTCCCGCAAATTAAGTCAGTTTTGTCCCAGGATGCGACCCACACCAGTCCACTAACACCCAGGTAATCATTGTACAGTGATGGGTGAACAGGGACAGGGACTGCAGGTGTCTTATGGAAACACGTCCCTAATGTTTTCCAGCCGTACCGGAGGAGATTCGAACCCCGGACCTCAGTGTGGGAGCTGAGTGCGCTACCGATCGAGCTATACCATTGCAATAAATTCCACAGTTCGAATCCCAACGACAGACGTGAATGCAAGCCGCAATACGAGTATTTCCCACAATATTGCCACTAAGGTAAAATATTTAGCACAAATTCTTTACTTAAAAAGGCTTAATGCAATAGGAAATACATGTAAATATACCAAGAATTAAACAGTGACGTTTAAAAAACAAAACCAGTGCTTTTCCTCAAGTCACTAATACTAAAACAATGTTGTGAACTTAAGAATGATTGAGAGAATACTTTATACAATGTGTATACTGTAAAGGAACATGTATGGTAAATATATAGAATGTGAGTTCAAAGGACCCAGAAAACTACTACACTTTAAATAGCCTATCCAAGTAGCAGTGAACACCTTAACAGCAACAACAACGACTGTCAAACACCTTACACCGGGTGTGGATGTGTGAATTGCTCATTACTTTATAATTTGCAACTATGTATAAATATAAGTAAGTAAATTTACTTACATGATTCATTACCTTTGTAACTTGTGACTTCATTACCTTCGTAAGTTGCTCACCTATCAAACTTTTGGGGCCCAGTCCCTGGACCCATTATGTACCTCTGTAATCTTTCGACTACCACCCGCAGGATGGGTATGGGGTGCATAATAGCAGATATTAAACTAAATAAAACACCCTACGATGGACACACCAAAGCAGAAGTCAGGACCAATTATAATATTAAGCGTTTTAATTCATGTACTTATGTCAACAACAGGAAGGTATCATGACTTAAATATTCTGCAGCCATCCACAAGACCGACATATGGCCGTTATAAAAAATCCTTGCGACATAAAACTCACGCAAATTATACGAATGGTGGGAACTCCATAGGTGTCCCGTAGCTCGATCGCTAGCGCTTTCTTATGGATGTGTTTCCATAAGACACCTGCTGTCAATGTTCACCCATCAGTAGTAATGGGTACCTGGGTGTTAGTGGACTGGTGTGGGTCGCACCGTGGGACAAAATTTCCCCAATTTGCGGGAAATGCTCTTCATAACAAGGGACTTTCTATATAGCAGTATGTCATTGATGTCAGCTATGGTCTGTATTCCTTGTACATTTACTTGTAGAAATAAAGTAGCTGCAGAAAGTACAGTTACTAGTGTAGCTGTAGGAAGCTCAGTTATAACCTGCAATGTAGCTTCGTGCAGCGGTCTGACAATCTGCAGTAGAGCTTAGGGAAGCCTGATAACATCCTTCACTGTATCTATGTGAAGCTCTCTGAGTTCCTTTAGGAAGCTCTGAACTTTCACTGAAGCTGTGGGAAGCTTCATGGTAACCTGCAGTTTAGCTGTGGGAAGCTCTCTGAAAACCTGCAGTTTAGCTGTGGGAAGCTCTCTGAAAACCTGCAGTTTATCTGTGGGAAGCTCCCTAACAACCTGCAGTTTAGCTGTGGGAAGCTTCTTGACAACCTGCATTATAGCTGTGGGATGCATCCTGACAACCTGCAATATAGCTGTGGGATGCATCCTGACAACCTGCAATATAGCTGTGGGATGCATCCTGACAACCTGCAATATAGCTGTGGGATGCATCCTGACAACCTGCAGTATAGCTAGCAGCGGGACAACCTGCAGTATAGCTAGCAGTGGGACAACCTGCAGTATAGCTAGCAGTGGGACAACCTGCAGTATAGCTAGCGGTAGCTCCCTGGCAACCTGCAGTAAAGCTGTGGGAAGCTCTCTGACAACCCTCTGTCATGTTAAAACACTGATACCTTTCCTTGCATCACAGGTACAAGCGGTCGGAGACGACTGGCTTCATGTCTGAGTGTGCCCGAGAGAGTGACGAGGACGATCACTCTAACGACCTGGCACTCCAGTCCTCATCTGAGGTCAGTGATGCAGGTAAGACTTCCTCTACAACCACACCTCTCCGGGACTCACCGGGAATGCTGGCCCTAATTTTAATTCTGATCATTTTATCATGTGGGTAACTTAATGGCAAGTGCACAGACCAATGTTTATTTGTCAAATATTGTGGTAAAGGTGTTGGAAAGCCTGGGGAGAGCAGGAAAAATGATGGAAGCAGGCTAGGCTGGAAAACTGGAAGAGGGCTAGAGAAGAGCCTGTCAGAGCAGGGATTTTAAAAGCAATGGGAAAGCTGATGAAAAGTCAAGGAGAGCATGGGTAATAACAGAAAGTAGCCTAGAGAAAAACCGGGGTAAAGCATGGGAAAAGCCTGGAGATATCAGTGGAAAAGAAGGGGGAAGAGCAGGCATAAAATGAATTTATAGACCTAAATTTTAGACCTAAAATCAATTTTGTAATTATCTTTTTAATAGCTGAAACTTTTACGTTATATTTCAGACACTCCTGAGAACGATTTCGTTACCAGCAGATCAACCCCTCATGGCAGCCCTATATCAGGAAAGTTTCTCCCGGACAATGTATACCTTCTCGGTGTCCAGGAAGGACCTTCAACAGGAACACTAAGGAAGGAGAAGAGCTGCAAGATACCAACATCCACGGCAGGTGGAGCGGAGTAAGCCAGGAATCAGTAAAGTTACATCTCTACAAAAACGTAATTTCAAAGGATTCCTGCTTACAGCAATTGCCCCTTGTGAGTGAAGGGAGCGACGGGTTCGCCGCGAAGTGCGCAGGTACTTCCTATAATGATTGTGCCACAAGACGACCGAGAGATACGCGGATCACAGCTACAGATGAGTACATTAAGCACCCCAGCCAGCAATGAAAGCTAGGCTTCAAATGCCTCGTTGATGCAGACAGCATACATAAACAGCAGACAGCATCCATAAACAGCAGACAGCAATCCATAAACAGCAGACAGCAGTTCATAAACATCATTGCTTAGCTTGACCCAGTGCTTGTCACTCTCATTTCCTGACTTCCAACATTCGTTATCTCCTCCATTCAAATGCCTCGCAGAAGCACCCAGACGCCTCGCAGAAGCACTCAGATGCCTCGCAGAAGCACCCAGACGCCTAGCAGAAGCACTCAGATGCCTCGCAGAAGCACCCAGACGCCTCGCAGAAGCACCCAGATGCCTCGCAGAAGCACCCAGATGCCTCGCAGAAGCACCCAGACGCCTCGCAGAAGCACCCAGATACCTCGCAGAAGCACCCAGACGCCTCGCAGAAGCACCCAGATGCCTCGCAGAAGCACCCAGATGCCTCGCAGAAGCACCCAGACGCCTCGCAGAAGCACCCAGATACCTCGCAGAAGCACCCAGACGCCTCGCAGAAGCACCCAGATGCCTCGCAGAAGCACCCAGATACCTCGCAGAAGCACCCAGACGCCTCGCAGAAGCACCCAGAGCCTCGCAGAAGCACCCAGATGCCTCGCAGAAGCACCCAGACGCCCGCAGAAGCACCCAGATCCTCGCAGAAGCACCCAGAGCCTCGCAGAAGCACCCAGATGCCTCGCAGAAGCACCCAGATGCATCGCAGAAGCACCAGAGCTTCGCAGAAGCACCCAGATGCCTCGCAGAAGCACCCAGATGCCTCGCAGAGCACCCAGATGCCTCGCAGAAGCACCCAGATGACCTCGCAGAAGCACCCAGAGCCTCGCAGAAGCACCCAGATGCCTCGCAGAAGCATCCCAGATGCCTCGCAGAAGCACCCAGAGCCTCGCAGAAGCACCCAGATGCCTCGCAGAAGCACCCAGATGCCTCGCAGAAGCACCCAGATGCCTCGCAGAAGCATCCAGATGCCTCGCAGAGCACCCAGATGCCTCGCAGAGCACCCAGATGCCTCGCAGAAGCACCCAGATGCCTCGCAGAAGCACCCAGATGCTCCCAGAACACGGATTGCCTCCAGTCAAAAATTATTTGCAGACATCATCTAAAACCTGATGTTACGCAACCCCAAGGTTAAGAAGAAATCTTCCAATATTCACCTAATCTCAGAAGACCAGATTACGAGTGAGAGTCACTCTCAACTCTGGAACAATGCTTAGAAATAATGTCCTAAAGTACAGAACCTCTGTATTCGGATAGCATCTCATTCAAAATACCAGTATCTCGGAAAAAATCGCAGGAAAAATGCCTGAAAGCAAATGTCACTAATCCGGAACGACATTCTAATGCTCGCGAACCCAGATGCCACAGATCACCATAATAGCTGCAGAACACCAGATGCCTCGCAAAAACCATAATGCCCCGAACGACATTTCACGTCAAAAATTATTTGCAGATCATCATCTAAACTGATGTTACGCTACTCCACCAAAGGTTAAGTAAATCTTCCAATATTTTAACTTTAATATAAAGAAGATTAACAGTGGAGTCACTCTCACACATACTGGAAACTGGTATAAAAACCGTCCTAAATTAGAACCTCTGTATTCGGATACATCTTTATTCATAAAATACAGTATTCGGAAAAAAATCGAGGGAAAAATGTACTGATATAGGCAAATGTCACTACATCCGGAACGACACTTTTTAATCTCTTGTGATTCAGTTGTGTTATTATATCTTATTATTGAATATGGTATGTCAACATCTGCAGTATTTTCTATTATAAAAAATAAAGGCAGAATAAAAAGTGCTAATGTGGCAACAAGAGTTAAAATTCTTGCAAGGTTCATGTATAATTTCTTGCTTGTACATGTTATTTCATATGTTTAATTAACTAAGGGTCGACAATCCAAAATTTGGTTACCTCAAAAATCTCTGATATTATCCTAACTCCACAAGTCTTTGAAAAGGCAATAAATGACATGCCATGCACTCTGTCCCAGGTCCAGACTCATGGAACTCCGTGTTCATCAAGAACTGCAAGAAGCCCCTGTTACGTACCTTCAGCATTCTATGGAGAGGGAACATGGACACAAAGGTCATCCCACACTCACTAAAAGCAACTGACATAGTCTCACTCTACAAAGGTGGCAGTAAAGCAATTGCAAAAAACTACAGACCGATAACACTAACATCCCATATCATAACAAACTTTGAAAGAGTTCTACGAAGCAAGATCGCTAATCACCTAAATACCCATCAATTACACAACCCAGAACAACACGGGACAGGCAGGTTGCTCCTGCCTGTCCCAGCTACTGGACCACTATGACAAGGTCCTGGATGCTGTAGATGTTAAACAAAATATAGATGTAATATGCGCAGACTTTGCAAAAACTTTCGACAAGTGTGACCATTGTGTAATATCGCACAAAATGCGTGATAAAGGAATAACAGGAAAAGTTGTTAGATGGATCTACATCTTCCTGACAAATAGAACACAAAGAGTAATAGTAAACAGAGGAAAGTCCCAGACAGCCATGGTAAAAAGCTCTGTTCCACAAGGCACAGTACTCGCTCCCATTCTATTCCTCATCCTCATTACTGACATAGACAGAGATGTAAGCCATAGCTCCGTGTCTTCCTTTGTGGATGACACCTGAATTGCCATGACAGTGACCTCCATCGAAGACACTGCTAGACTCCAAGCGGACATCAACCAAATCTTCAAATGGGACACTCAAAACAACATGAATTTCAATGAAGAGAAATTTCAACAATCAGATATGGAAAACTTGAGGAAATTAAAACTGCATCAGGGTATACAACAAATTCTAACCATACAATAGAGCAATAAAGTATTGTGAAAAACCTGAGAGTGATAATGTTAGAGGATTTCACCTTCAAAGACCACAACACTATCTACCTCATCCGCTACAAAATGATTGGATGGATAATGAGAACCTTCAAAACTAGGAACGCCAAGCCCATGATGATTCTCATCAAATCGCTTTTTCTCTTTAGGCTCTTGGATGTCACTACCACCCGCCTCCGGCTGGGTTACAAGTATCTTTGGCAGGTTAAATCACCAAATATAGACCAAACGAAGTGTAAACTTTGCCAGATGGACTATTGTCACACCCTGCGTCATTATGTACTGGAGTGCGATGAAACTAATGAATTTAGAGACAACTCGCTCAGAAATATTCAAGAAATGGCAAAGTACTTTATCAACAGTGGTATATTACAGACCATTCTGGAGAAATACCCTGACTTTGCTCACTGTAAATAATGCATTACCATGTGTGTGTGTGTGTGTGTGTGTACTCACCTATTTGTACTCACCTATTTGTGGTTGCAGGGGTCGAGTCACAGCTCCTGGCCCCGCCTCTTCGCTGATTGCTACTAGGTCCTCTCTCTCCCTGCCCCATGAGCTCTATCATACCTCGCCTTAAAACTATGTATGGTTCCCGCCTCCACTACGTCACTTTCTAGGCTATTCCACGGCCTGACTACTCTATGACTGAAGAAATACTTCCTAACATCCCTTTGATTCATCTGAGTCTTCAACTTCCAATTGTGACCTCTTGTGTCTGTGTCCCTTCTCTGGAACATCCCGTCTTTGTCCACCTTGTCTATTCCGCGCAGTATTTTATATGCCGTTATCATGTCTCCCCTGACCCTCCTGTCCTCCAGTGTCGTCAGGCCGATTTCCCTCAACCTTTCTTCGTAGGACAATCCCCGTAGCTCTGGGACTAGTCTTGTTGCAAACCTTTGCACTTTCTCTAATTTCTTGACGTGCTTGACTAGGTGTGGATTCCAAACTGGTGCTGCATACTCCAGTATGGGCCTGACGTAAATGGTATACAGAGTCTTAAACGAATCCTTACTGAGGTATCGAACGCTATCCGTAGATTGCCAGGCGACCGTATGCTGCAGCAGTTATCTGATTGATGTGCGCCTCAGGAGATATGCTCGGTGTTATACTCACCCCCAGATCTTTTTCCTTGAGTGAGGTTTGCAGTCTTTGGCCATCTAAACTATATTGTGTCTGCGGTCTTCTTTGCCCTTCCCCAATCTTCATGACTTTGCATTTGGCAGGGTTAAATTCAAGGAGCCAGTTGCTGGACCAGGCTTGTAGCCTGTCCAGGTCTCTTTGTAGTCCTGCCTGATCCTCATCCGATTTGATTCTTCTCATTAACTTCGCATCATCTGCAAACAAGGACACTCTGAGTCTATCCCTTCCGTTATGTCGTTCACATATACCAGAAACAGCACAGGTCCTAGGACTGACCCCTGTGGAATCCCGCTTGTCACAGGCGCCCACTCTGACACCTCGTCGCGTACCATGACTCGTTGTTGCCTCCCTGTCAGATATTCTCTGATCCATTGCAGTGCCTTTCCTGTTATGTGTGCCTGATCCTCTAGCTTTTGCAGTAACCTCTTGTGAGGAACTGTGTCGAAGGCCTTCTTGCAGTCCAAAAATATGCAGTCGATCCACCCCTCTTTCTCTTGTCTTACTTCTGTCACCTTGTCATAAAACTCTAGTAGGTTTGTGACACAGGATTTTCCTTCCCTGAAACCGTGCTGGTTGTCAATTATACACTTGTTTCTTTCCAGGTGCTCCACCACTCTCCTCCTGATGATCTTCTCCATGACCTTGCATACTATACACGTTAGTGATACAGGTCTGCAGTTTAGTGCCTCATGTCTGTCTCCCTTTTTAAAAATTGGGATTACATTTGCCATTTTCCATACCTCAGGGAGTTGCCCAGTTTCAAATGATGTGTTGAAGATCTTTGTTAATGGCTCACACAATATCTCTGCTCCCTCTTTAAGGACCCATGGAGAGATGTTGTCTGGTCCCACCGCCTTTGAGGTGTCAAGTTCGCATAGCAACTTCTTCACCTCCTCCTTGGTTATATGTACCTCATCCAGCACTTGCTGGTGTGCCCCCCTGTTCTGATTTCCTGGAGTCCTACTGGTTTCCACTGTAAATACCTCTTTAAATCTTGTGTTGAGCTCCTGACATACCTCTTGGTCGTTTCTTGTGAATTCTCCATCACCTTTCCTCAGTCTGATTACCTGGTCCTTGACTGTTGTTTTCCTCCTGATGTGGCTGTACAACAGCTTCGGGTCAGTCTTTACTTTTGATGCTATGTCATTTTCATATTGTCTCTGAGCCTCCCTTCTTATCTGTGCATATTCGTTTCTGGCTATTCGGCTGATTTCTTTATTTTCCTGAGTTTTCTGTCTTCTGTACCTTTTCCATTCTCTAGTACACCTAGTTTTTGCCTCTCTACACCTTTGGGTGAACCAAGGACTCGTTCTGTTCTTCCAATTATTTCTGTTTCCCTTGGGAACAAACCTCTCCTCTGCCTCCTTGCATTTTGTTGCTACATAGTCCATCATTTCTTGTACTGGTTTTCCTGTCAGTTCCCTCTCCCACTGAATGTCTTGAAGGAAGTTCCTCATGCCTGAGT